CACAATATGAATTCATTTTCATAAATGACGCAATTCAAGAACTAGCTCCAGTATTCATGTACTCCTGAAGATGACCCAAGAAAAGGGTCGAAACATGTAGCTTTACCACAAACAGCTAATAAAAACAAATATTGGCACAGTAGTGTCTATTTGTATCTTTCAGAACTATTGCTGTGTAGACTGTTCCTATATCTTTCATAGGACACACAACAAGAAGCATATCATAAAGGTTAGAAATATTGTACAATATATTATGTACCGTTTGTCTATTATGTTTTCAGAAGAATTCGTTTAAGCTGCAGTGTCAAGGACAAATTCCACCCCAAGCTCTACATGTGACAACGAATTGTTTACGTGAAGGTGGGGTACAAGAAGATTGTCGCTGAGGCTCCATTACTGATTTCCAAACAAAAGTTACATGTTCGCTATTAGAAAATGAAACGCGTCAACCCGTGTACGTAATCTTGGCAGTGTTCACTGCACCATTGGTTACGTCATACTGAAACGAATCATTGCGTGCAGTAGAAAGCGGTTCAGGTGGCAGATGTCTGGCAACATGCTGTATCACAGCTGGCTGTGCCAAGAATTGTAATCCGATACAAACAGAATATAAAGAAGCATAAGAAGGAAACAAGTACTCATTAATATGATTACATACGAGACGACGAAACAGAAAACAATTTTGCCTAATCAACGAAAAGAAATGGAAATATTTTGTTAAATATGTATGGGTTTGTTAGTTAATGGTTTAACTAATGTTGCTAGGTCAACTGGATGTGTTATTTAACGTCGAGAGTATGATTATGTGCGGTGAACTGGAAGGGACTCTGCAGGAAACGGATGCTGTTCATTTGAAAGTACAGAGTGATTCTAAATTATTGTCGGGTTTTCCGTGATCTTTATTTCTCAAACCTTACGTGCCAAGAAAGACGCGTCTAATGAAGTTGTTTAGCATCCTGCATAATTTACTCAACAATTTATAAAACGTCTTGCTTAAAGTTTTCATATTAAGTAAGCAGTGTTATATTATTCTTTCTGGTTTAAACAAGTCCTCCGCGAGGGACTTTAAGCCCTGGGTCCTGTGTCGTAGATTTACGGCACGTAAAAGAACCTCATGTCTCTAGGAGACCTCTGAGCTAAATTAGGCAAATTTTCCCGCCCAAGTAGTTTCCAATGCCTCCGGTAGATGGGGAAAGTATTAGGTACCACTGCCAGATGAGGACCGACCTCGCTGACAGAAAGGGACTAATTATCAGATACCACTGCCAGTAGAGGGCCGACCTCGCTGGCAGAAAGGGGCTGATAACGGGCACCAGTACCGGTAGGGTATGGAGACAGTAGAAATTAAAGCGGGATGCACAATGGACCAATAACTGGTCTAAGTGCATGGGGAAACCCACCTCCTCCAACAATGAATGAATGAATGAATGAATGAATGAATCCCAGCCTTCGCCTAGCAGGAAGTGGTAAAGCTGGAGAAATCTTGGGCAGTGACCTTCAAGAGGCTCGAACCCAATACATATCTGGCGTGTTAGGGCTAGATGAGCGTACTCAGCACCCTGTATTGATTTCGGAAAGTCGTAGAGGAATTACAAGCAAACAAACAGCATACTTCACCGCACAGGCTCAGAACTCTGTTAATATAACGGCTCAGATTGGTCTCTTCATTGTAGCTAGTTTGCCGACTCAAGTTCTGTCTCAAAAAATACTTTTCTAATCTTCCTAGAAACTCAGATGGTGATTTGAATCCGTATAATTAAAAACCGAACATCTTCGAACACGAACAAATTATGCTTTAGTTCGTGTTTTGTCATTTAGGTTTTGGGTTCAAGCCTATAATTACACATTGTTATATCCCGTATCCTTTTGTGGCATTATCTGTTCCATTCACAGCTGAATCTGTGTTAATCAAAACAACAATTACGAATTATTAAAATGTTCATACATTGAAGTTATTGGACGCCATTGTAACATGGCGTCCATTGTATGGTTAATCTGCATGGCATCCAAGATGGCATGGATTCTCTTGTGTTCCTCATGTCTTACGAAACACCCAATTTAAATTTTTATGTAGCGTATGGTAAACATAGCAACACATAAAATTTAATGAATTTATTATTCTAAATTTGCAGTCTAGACCGTGTCTCTTTTCCTTCACAGCTGAGTCATCACTGACGGTTCTTATTGACAGCAATATATATATATTTTGGGTTCAAGACATTTTCTTATTTGGGGTGGACTGAACTGAATCCATACGCACAAGAGCCTCTCACGGGGCCTAGTGTACCAGCTTCTAATCACGGATGCTTATGGAACATAGGCGGAATAATAATTAGCCGGATAAACCCGAAGCATTGACAGAAGGGAACCTGTCCCAACTAGTCTGTTCACCATATATCCCACAAGCATTTTTTTGGAATTGAGCTTGGTCCTCCGCGGTGGGGAGCCTGCCACTAACCACCTCAGCTGTCACTGGAGGCTCAAAACTTTATTAGTCAGGAGGGAAATTTGTTAACTTTACACACAGTGGCTGTTGCCCTTCGAATCTCAGTTCTCAGCTGGGGAACAGAAATGTGATAAGAGAACAGGAGGCGACGGTCGGGTTAGTACGAGCGCTGGTTTAAGCTGGGTTTAACTGCTAGCTGTCACGACATACGTGTCTGGCTCACGGAGGTACGACGTGGGAATGTCTTGTAACCACAAACCTGTGTCCCAAAAATGTGTTTATTTTTGACACACATTACTAATGGGGTGTGGTGTGGCTCCCATCTCAATGTGAAAGTCAAGAGTGCCTAGTTATAACAAGATTAGACGTGTACACAGCGTGCATGTAACAGACGCGACCGGCAGAGGGATGGCCGTGCTAACATACATACCTTTCAAATTAAACATATGAAAAAAAAATGTTAATGTAACAAATGGAAGCGATGTCCTGTAATTCCGTGGCTACAGCATTTTACAAGCGGAATGGACGGCCTGTTTATAGGGTCAAAAATTATTACTGAAGCAAGAGTTTTAATTTTTAGTGAGTTAAGAGTTTGTACCAGTGGAGGGCTCTTGTGAACAAGGTAATAAACATTCGGCTTCCATAAAATACTGGAAAATTCTTGAGTAGCTGCAGAAGTGGCGGCTCCTCCAGAAGGGCTCAGTTCCATGAGTAAGTATTTCTTTTTATTGCTAGTGGGGTGGGACTAAGTCCCTTGTACTGCGGCCACTTCTGGCCTATTTTACCAGCCCCAGATGATAGGTGAGGGTGATTGTGGAGCAATTGGTGGAATGAAGATTGGCAGGGGAAACCGAAGTACTCGGAGAAAACCTGCCCCAGCGCCACTTTGTCCACCACAAATCCCACTTGACCAGACCCGGGATCGAACCCGGGCCGTCGCTGTGGGAAGCCAGCGACTAACCGCTTGAGCTATGGCGCGGCCAAGTAAGTAAGTAAGTAAGTAAGTAAGTAAGAAAGAGTTTGTACAGAATATGAATTGGGCGTCCGGGGTTCTAATCTCGACAGGGGCAAGAGATATTTCTCTACCGCACAGACCGGCTCTGGGGCCTACCCAGCCTCATATCCAATGGGTACCGGGGGCTCTTTCCCCGGGGCTAAAGTGATCGGGGAGTGAAGGTGATCACTCACCATCTATTGGCGAGGTCACGAATTATGGAGCTATATCTCCCCTCCCCTATACGTCTTCATGACGTGGCGCTTACGCTTAATGAACTTCACTGTTACTCTATTTAAGCCATGAGCTTGTACATATAAACACATACATTACTGACTCATGGAGCTGAGCCCTCCTTGAGGAGCCGCTAATTCTGCAGCTACTCAAGAATTTCCCAGCATTTTATGGTTCATTGCCGTGTTCACTGGTCCCTATCCTGAGCCAGCTCAATCAAATCCATACAATCCCATCCTATCTCTCTAAGATCCATTTTAATATTGTACACCAACCTACGCATTGGTCTTCCCAGTGGTCTCTTTCCTTCTGGCTTTCCCACCAATATCCTATATGCATTTCTCTTCTCCACCATTCGTGCTACGTGCCCTGCTCAACTCATTCTAATTATACATGGAGAAGAGTACAAGTTATGGAGCTCCTCATTATGCAGTTTTCTCTAACCTCCCGTCATAAACACATACATACATGTACAAATGAGAGCTGATCGGTCCATAGATTTGATTATTTAATAATTAAGATAATGTTTCAGAGTGAACACAGCCCTTATACTGTGCACCCTTGTGATACTGAGGCCGGCTCAAAGCGCTACATTTGCAAGTGAGGTTACGCAGCAATTGTGGCAGTACAGTGCCCTGAATGTTTAACGGCCCCTCATAAAGCCTGTGCACTTGAACAAGCCCATAACGGGTTGTCGCAGCTAGAGTAACACGCAGAGACTGCTGTGTGCAGATCGGTTGACATGGAGAAATTGCCGCTTTGCTTATATTACACACACTAAAACAAAACTATACGAAACTTGGACACATTCCGAACAACAGTACAGACTACAGAGAAAGAAGCCATATTATTTACATGTAAACAACGGAACGCCATCTCGGAAAAACTGAATAGGGACAAACAACAAAACATTCTTATACAAATCTGTACTGATTATACATAGCATATATACGAGTATAAAATTGACCGCCTCTGTGGTCTAGTGGTCAGAGTTCCTGGTTACAGATCCAGAGGCCCCAGGTTCCATTACCGGCTTCACCAGATTTTCTGAGAAGTAGTGGGTCTGGAACGGGGTCCACTCAGCCTCGTGAGGATAATTGAGGAGCTACTTCAAGGAAATAGCGGCTCTAGTCTAGAAAACCGAAATTAACGGCCGTGGGGATTCGTTGCGCTGACCACGCGACACCTTCTATCCGTTAAAGTTGGCATTAACTTTGCCGAGAAGCGGCGGTCACTCGGTCGGTATAGTTCACTTGCGGACTACAGACCACGGAGTAAAACTTAATTACGAAAGGCTTCTGGAGATCTGGAAAAGTTGCTACTCACCATCTCGTCCAAGCTCTTGAGATCGTTGGTGACGACCTGGGGCATGGGGCCGAACTGCTCGTCCTCATCACTGTCGTCCAGGTTGTTGCCGCTCTGTTCCGCTGCGATCTCGCGGTCTATCTCTCTTTCTAGCTGCACCAACATAGGCGCCAGCATACCGAACTTGGCGCCGCGACGTGCCACCTCCAGCAGACACAGGATCACGTGCTTCTCGTTCTTGCGGAGGATCAAATCGTCAGTCTCGAAGAGGAGACACTCGAGGATGCAGAGGCCGCGGCGACACCACGAGATGAAGTTGGACACGTTGTCACGGGCGAAGAAGGTGCCCGGTTTGGCGGCCTGCAAGTAGTACACGTCGCCGAGCTCGGTGAGGCTGGACGTCGTGCTGGGACGTCGGGTCTGGCGCCTCTGAACGTACTCCACGGCACACTGACGTACCTTGTTCGCGTGCTGCAACAGATTGCCAACATTGTTAGAGCTATCCCTGCAACAGGCCGTGGAGGGCCGTAGGACTGTGAGACGTCGAGTTTTCCATATCTCTAGAAAATCGGCTCTCAGATGGCGGTAATGTCGTCAGCCTTACGCGCCGGCCACCCTTTACCCCCAGGAAGATTCCTGGTATACTCATTTCTGTTAGAGGCTGAGCCGACCCCTGGGCCATAGTGCAGTTGGAAGGATTAGGTCCATCGAAAAATCCAATGATCTCATAGGTAATCGAACCCGCGACCTTCCGGCTTGTAGCATATACCTCAACCAACTATGATACCGCTTACCCCCACAGTGTTATCTAAGGTGCATGAATCAGCTATTCCTAACCTGAGCCAGTTCAGTCCATTTATATTATTACCTATTTTTCTACTATCTATTTGTAGGATTTGAAGCTCTCACAGCGGTACCTATTAAGAGTTCCATCTTCTGGGATATAACGCCGTGTAGTCCGTTGGAAGTCAACCGACGTTTAGGAGGATCATATCGCCTCCATTTTCAGGGTCGAAGAATAAGCGAGCCAGCAAGAAAGGGCTTGCTACCCGCTTCACGTTGGTTTCTTACCTGGCTTGTTCTTCTATTCTGAAGATGGAGGCTAAATGTTCATCCGAAACGTCGGTTGACTTTCAACGAAATACACGGCGTTATAACCCAGAAGAAAGAAATATTTATTTTAATATTTGTCCTCAATAATGGCATGTCATCTTCGAAGTGCTCTGAAATTATTCACTACTAAAATTCTGTGTGAATTTCAGGTTTCCATCCGAACTTCATGCCCAGTAAATAGTAAATTTCTTCACGTAACTACACTATGATACATTGCCGATTTGAAAGGAATTAAATTTTTCTAATAATTTTAATACCAAATTTCACCATATTCAGTCGACTAGCTTGACAGACAGACAGACAGCCGGACACGACCTCTTATTAATACCCTCATTGTACGCATTTTGTATAAAGACGCATAGACATATATATATATATTTTATTTTAATTTTTGAAGACCTTTCTGTTCAATGGGACAGTTTCGTTTGGGTAACCTGAATTTAGTGTGACTTCAGGTTTTGTGAAACTACTCTTGATGGGTTATATATATATATATAACCCATCAAGAGTAGTTTCACACACACTAAAGTCACACTAAATTCAGGTTACCCAAACGAAACTGTCCCATTGAACAGAAAGGTCTTCAAAAATTAAGACTACTCTTCTTGATCACGGCACCGAATGGTTTCGGAGGTGGTAACAAAGTTTCGAAAAACCATGCTGCCCCTACATTAGAGACAAAAACTGGAGGTAGCTTCTCCCAAAACGTCTGTGACTACCTATCTTTACCTACTATTGAACAAGAAAATTTTCAGGCTGAAAATCTCACTATGAACAAGATCATTTCCTATACAAACAGCCCTCCCACATATTCCCAACTGAAGCTGTATATTTTCGTAACAACAAGAATAATTCTGAGAAAGAGAGGCGCTGTATAAGCTGAACCCCACTTCAGCTCCCATCACGTTTTCATTATGACAGTGAAACAGATTTATTGACCTTATTAACGTTTTGAATAGAAGCTCCTTTTTCTTCTGTGAACACGAAAGAGGATCGGCCAGGTATACGAAAAGCAGTTAAAGAAATAATGTTTGTTAAGTAACACAGATAGGCTTGCCCGCTTGTGGGGTTACCTCCGACAGCTTACATCTGTGTAACCTTTAATGGGATTTCTTCACAGCGCAGCTAGCCCGAGCATGCACTGCACCTTCACGAGACTTCCGGTTCTTCGAGTAGCCACGCTAGTGGTACGTGATGTTTCCTAAACATGGCCTCCAAGAGCCTTACTTCCGTCACAGCAACTCACGTACAAGTAACCTCGAGGCATCTCCGTGTTTGGAAGGTATCTCCCATTGACCAACTTTATCTTGTGTACAGAGGAATATCAACATAATTTCTTAGTCACACCGCCAGATTCTGTACCGACACACGGTACGTGATTGTTCGCAGGTGTGAGCAGGTGGAATGACGTGTTAAAAACGAAACATTTAGCTAAATAGATTAAGAAAGCTCACTGTAACCTTGACTTGGTCCATTCTGGTCCGTCACACTAGAAATGTTATAAAGCGTTATCTACTACGTCCAGTGTGATTGATAATTATTATTTTCTCTCCTATTTAATCTCTCATCCTTGACATGTTTCGGTCTGAGAGAGACCATCTTCGGAAGGATATATCTGTACACGCGGAAACTACTAATACGATGTGTTTGGTCAATACAATACATACATACAATATCATTACAATGTTATGAGTATAAAATCTGTTCCTTTAACAACTACAGCGACGTGCATGAAAACATTAAAATATTTATAAATTATTATAATTAGTTTATTTACAAGTGTGGTTTAAGAACACTTTGTTAAAATTTAAAACCAATTTGGTTCATGTCCTTTATACTGCATCTCTTTAAAGGAGTTTGAGTGTCTACCGCGTCGTGGTTCCGCCGTTTGATGAATAGGATTCTTAGTGTCGTCTTGTTGTTCGGGCCGCGATGTGTCGTCACCAGGAAACTCATGAATTCAACTTGCAGAATCACAAAGGAAACTAATCTCATAAAGTACCGCGCACAAGGAACACAAGCACGAACTTGGCACCCATACCAAAAAATTAAACAACTCCACCATCTCATATCATTGCGTTTTATTATAGGGCCTATCATAATAGAGCTTTAGCCTGACATGCGCAACAGATCTAGATGCATGCGTCCACACACTGGGTAAATAAAAATTTCAACATTCATATTAACTTTCAATTAATCATAAATTCATTCTGTGTTCGTATTTTTAATTGTCTCCCCTCAGACTATGAATTAAAGCTTAAGGGACTCTGCATTTCGATATTCTAATTATATCTGAATTTATTATAAAATTTTTATACGACTAACAGTTCTTCAGAAATTGAAACGGGTCCAGAATGTAAATGATGAACCGTTGGGGTTAGGCAAACAAAATTTGGTACGAAGGCAGATCATATACATGTCTACACATAAGGTGAAGCTGTCCCTGGGCTCAACGAATTAAGCACAATGCCATGAAGGCGTATGGTGGAGTGGATGTATAGATCCCCATTTTCTTGACCTCGGCAATAGCTGAGGTGAGTGGTCAGCTTCACGCCCCAGCCGCTTTACTTCCAGGGAAAGAACCCCCAGTGCTTTTGGATGGGAGGTTGGATGGACCCCAGAGCCAGTCTGGACGATTTGGAGAAGAGAAAATTCTTCACCCTACCGGGACTCGAACTCCTAACCCTCTGTGGTCCAGCCCGTAGCCAGTCGCTATACCGATTATGCTATCCCGGCTCAAATGCCTACACATTCTGTATTAAACACTTTTTATTTCTAAACGAAAAGGTAGGAACATGGCGACTGTGCGAAGCTTAGATGTTATGTATGGCAAATAGACAATGGCAAGAAGAATGAAAATAAATAATAGTACTGTTACTGCTATGGCTCAGTTAGTGGGATGCGGGGCTCGGGAACTGGCAAGGACGGGGAGCTGACCACATGCCTCCATCTAATGTCAAGGTTAAGAATGGGTGGAACCGTACTTCTGCTACCAATACGTCTTTATGACGTGGTACTTAATTCAGTATAAGAAAACGATTGCTCTGCTTTACTTTCCTCTTACTCAATACGCTACATCTGTAAATTTGAGGGTTACATCCGACCTTCGGAACCAAAAGCATATTCGTCCAGCAGCTGTTAGCGAGGACCTCGTGCAAAAAGACTCGGTGGTTTTAGTCCGCAAGCGAACTATACCGATCGACCGCCACCTGTCGGTGAAGTTAGTACTAACTTCAGCGGATAGAGGGTGTCGCGTGGTCAGCGCAGCGGATCCCCACGGCCGTTAATTTCGGGTTTCTAGGCCAGAGCTTCTATTTCCTTGAAATAGCTCCTCAATTATCCTCATGAGGCTTGGGTGGACCCCTTTCCAGATCCATTACTTCTCAGAAAATCTGGTGACGCCGGGAATCGAACCCGGCCTCTGGATCTGTAGCCAGTAACTCTGACCACTAGACCACAGAGATTTATAGAAACACATTCTATGTATAAAAAATAAGCTTAAAAACTAATACATCACATATTTGTAATTTTCAATGCGAAGAGGTGTTTCTCTTTTTCCTTAAAGATTTTTTTTATTTATAAATTTGGATTAATATCGGAGCTATTAATTTTCAAATTTTATGCCGCGTTTAGTACTTTGTTTCTGTACTTTGTTTCTCTTGCTGGGCAATTCGAGAATCTAGTTTCGCAGAAATATACAGGTATGCTAGCGAATGCTATCAGCTGACGAATTGCACATCTAGATATAACGTTTTTCTCCGAGGCAAAAGCAAACATAATTTTAACAACTTCTTCCTTTGAAAGTGATATTTCTAATCAGAAAACGCTCCAAAATTATTTTATATATAGTTCATAATAATGATAATAATAATAATAATAATCTCATTTAAAATATCATATTTTTTACGTTTTAATGGAGTTTTCTTGTGGAATTTTTATTTTAACCTCGCGGAAACCAGGGGTTATGCGGACCACCATTTGGGAAACAATGATCTCGAGTAATGCGAATGGGATTTGGGTTGTATGAATATGGAGAGCTCCGTGTTGTATGTACCGCCGTAGGTCTATCTGCTTAGCGTGCAGACTTCACAGGGGCAGATCGATACTTCTAAGGACTATCATCATTGCATTAAAATGAGGTATGCATCGTAACGTTGCAGAATCCTGTTTACACCTTGTAAAGGAGCGAAAGAATGAACCTTGTTCATCAGCTACAGAACTCCATGACGCAAATTCCATCCTGAATATCTAACGTTCACTCGGATTGTGTTGAAACTCCACGTCTCATACGGACCAGGTGAATCCAGTCCACAGCCTCACATCTCATTGCTTTAAGATCAGTCTTACCATTAGTTCGCTTGCGGACTAAAACAGTAGAGTTCGTTTTCTTTTCTTACCATTAAGACCACATTCACGAGTAGGTCTTCCATGTAGTTTCTTTCCTTCTAGTTTTCTGAGCAAAACTTTATAAGACACAACATTACTGGGTTTTTGGACTTTTTCCATCGTCCGGGATTCAAGAAA